ACTGCCATTGAGATGAATGGGAATGCTATCAGATTTCTGCAGGTATTATAGACATCCATGGTCAGAGCACAAGAGCACAGACAGAATACAAAACGCCAGCAGAGTGACGTATTCTCCCATCGGTCAGCTTGTTCAAAAACACATTTGCGCTGTATGTCTAAAGCACTGACAAATATCGAATGGAGGGGAAATCCATTGGGAGACATCACACCCTGGCTCAGTGCTGATATCAAAAGACATCAATGTCGTTCGACATTTCTGTGGTTTTCTATCAGCCCGAAGTCATCCAGAGAATTTCATAGCATTTCCGATTAGTTCACGTGGGTGGTGGGGATGGGTCTGCAGTGCAGCACAATGAGGAAACCTGGCAGGGCTAGAGCTCTCCACAGCAGTCAATGATTTAGTGCTGTTCCAAACCCATCAGGCACTGCTGCCATGATGTACGAGCCTCCATTCATGTACCACCATGTGCCACTCAGAAAAACCTTGGCTTTTGCAATCCACACGGAGGCCCTTCTCACTCCCACTCATTCAGGGTGAATGAATTACATGGGGAAATACGTTAATAGCACTTCGGCATGATGTATGCGTTCCAAAACCATCATCGGGTTGTTTTAGGGAACTTGAGGCAAAGCTGTAAACTATACTATTCTGAATTAATCTATTAGCCTCCATGCATTTCCGTCTGTCTGCACTTTACCCAAGCTCATTAAGTGCTAAGTGCGGAAAGCTCTTCATAACGGTAAGTTCCTTAAAGTCAGCCTCCTTAACTATACAAAAGAGTGGCAACATTAAAAGACATCTCAGACAATACACTTCCCTTTAATGTCACTCTCTAAGGGCTTTGACGGATCCCCGGCCCAGACTAAGAGCCTCATCACTTTGTCCTTACGCAGACGGTTTAACAGCCGCGTGGCACGCCGGATCAATAGTTAAAAAATAGATATCTACATTCAGAGCCTGCCGTTCAAAGCACTCCTCTCAGTGCTCTGTACACATCTAACAAACCTGGCGCTATATACTTGTTAATGCATTAGCCTGCCAACAACAATAACATGTAAGGTGTGAAAGCTATCCCAGGGCGATTGCCAAGGCACTCTGTGCAGACAAGATGTCTTTTAGCACTGGGTAAGTGAATGATGGATGCTTCCTGAATAGAAAGATTTGAATATTACTTTAACGCACTTTGCCTTTTTTTCATTCTAACACAAAGAGGAACATATGCGACAACGTGCTGAGAATCATCCATATGACTACATTCCGAAAATAAATCGTAAACCTCCTCTAAGTGTGAGATCATCTCAGATGTTCCTCTTTCAGATGTTTCTTATTTGCTAATAAAGAGGGTGTGTGGCAATGTAAACAACCGAGCAAAGAACAAGATGCATTTGAAGGAGTTTTGACAGGTTCTTTGGATTTTAACAGAGAGTACAGTTCAGAACAGTGTGGAGGAAAAATGTTGTTTGAGGTCTGCACATCTTTGTAGACTGTGGTTAAAAAGGAAGCTATTTTATAAAAGAACATCACACATGAGAGAATGCGGCTAAATGCATGCTGCGCAAACCACTCAGCTTTCACACAGAGTCCTAGTCTATCTCTGCAGATTTCATTTGTAGATCTATCAACATTATTTCTTAAAGGAATATTGTATAGTGGGTTCAATACAAGTTTTCTCAAACTTGTATTTGTGGTATAATGTTGATTGCCACCATACAAATGTAATTTTAGCACGTCCCTCATTTTCTAAATAAATAAATAAAAGTGAAAATCAAGGTTGAGGTACTTGCAATTGGAGTGAAAGATGTCAATTTTTGGAGAACACTTAAAACACTTACATTAATTTTATTTACTTGAGCTGTAAAGTTGTTCTTGTTATTCAGTTGTCAAATCTACTAATTTTACACATAAAAGGTTAATAAGTGATTTTGTTTTCACACTTAAATCCTATTAACATGCATGTTGTTTATGTCATGTGGCTGTTAGTCTGAAAACAGTAGTTTAATGTTTACATATTGGCCTCATTCACTTCCATTGTATGTGCCTCACTGTAACCTAGATTTTTGCATTTTCTTTAAAGAAAAGGAGGGATGGGTCAAAAATGAATTATTCCTTTAGAACTAAAATGTGCCATTTTTGACATTAAAATACTTTGTTCTCCCCAAACAGTGTAAAATTGTAGCTAGGGGTGGGCAATAAGGCAGCAAAATATAACTATTTATTTTTTTAAGGCTGGATCATAATCCAGAAACTTATCATAATTATTTTTCAGGTTTTTAAGACTGCGTTGAAAGTTACTGAGCAGTACAGCCAAACTAATTCCCCATATTTTTTAAATATAGCCCTACAGGTTAACAGAACAAGAGAATAAAAAATGACAGACCATTTTGCTTAGTGATTCTATCAAAACAACTTACTTAGTTTGACCATCCTAACCAGTCCTGGCAGAACCAATGGCATAAGTTTTGTTGACCAATGGCAGATGGAGGAAAGTTTCAGGAGAACCTGATTATTTTTTCTGCAATTCAGTTTGGTGATGCTGATTGTTCAGAAATTATATGCTTCACCTTTAAAGACTAAATTATCACTTAAGGTCATTTTGATAAACAACTCAACATAAGCTATATCTGCCAAATCACTAGAGAATAAAACCATTGGAAATCATTTGACAAATCACATGCAAAAGCACAATTTTGGATAGTTAAAGGTGTCTTGCTCCCTGTTTGTCTGCTCTGTTATAATATTTATAGGTAATTTAATTTATTGTAATATTTCATAAATTGTGTATTGCTCAATGCAACTGGAGTGTGATTAATCACCTTTAAGGAGGAATAGACTTACCTGTCCAGAATGTTGTTGCCAATGAGGCTTTAGTTGTGGACAAATACTTTAGAAGTATCTCTCGCCTTTAGGCTCATTGTTTAATTGCAGTCTGTAAACATTTGAAGGGTTGATCTAATCCAAAAGGACTAATGCTGATTTTATATTATTTTAATAAAGTCATAAATCAAAATCTTGAAGAGATCAAGACGTAGCAAGAAGCACAGGATCATTTACAGCCAATTGTTTAATCAATTATATATGTTACAGTAATATATTGCAATATATTTTTAATGTGTATGTAAGATTCTTATCAGCAATGCACAAAAAGTAAAATTATTAGACATTGGTATAGGCCACAACACAACTGTAATTATGGGCCCAGAAAGATCAGTAGCTTTAGAAAATGGCCATGCATGACTACACTGTAAAGAATTGCTGTAATTTTTACAGTAAATATTTACAATAGACCACTGTATTTTGAAATTTACAGCATTACTGTATTTTGCTATGAATTGTGGGAACATGCTAAATAATTGCTGTAAATTTTACAGTAGTTTCTACCATAATATACTGTGCATGTTTTTAAAGGAAGAATGTTTTTGCATTTTCCTATATATTCTGGGAACATGATTATGCAGTAAATGCTACAGGAGATCATGTATACATATATTATTTTTCTTTATATATAGAAGAAAACTGTTGCACAAGTTTTGAAATCCAGTTTTGGTACTCAGTCAACTGTAATAAATATAGCCTTTTTAACGAATTATTTACACCATGTTGACTCTGACATATGATTATATAATGTACGCATCTATTAGTTTAAAATTGTTTGCTTTAAAAACACACGTGATTAGGCAA